CCGAACTCCGGTCCCAACGGCGCCTCCAATTGACTTGCCATGCGCGTGCCGGGTTCATCCTCGGAGTGACAAGTAAAGGTCCTAAACGCATCGTACAAAGTCAGCCTTGGACCTGGGAGCACCGGAAACCTCACGGCTCAATCTCACACCAAGCCAAACCCCTAACTGGCTGGCTCCTGGTTGATGTGTCTCACGATCTGAAAAGATGCCCGTGTGCGACCTGATTTTGCCCCACCTCCACGCCCGAATCTTTCTGGGGCCGACTCTCGCGCAGCACTGCGTGGGCAGACGGAGGCGTCCCAGCCTCAGGCCGATGCTCTTTGGCGGGTGTATGTTGGGGAGGGTGGTGTGCAACCTGAGTCGTACCAAAACCCAGCCAATCCAAACAACATCAAAGGGACCTTGGGGCACGTCAGCTTGTCCCGGCTTCCCTCACGATATTCTCAGTCAGCAGAAAACCAATCTTCTTGTGAACGTGATCTGCCACCTCGACAGGCTAGTGCGGCTAGCACCAGAATTGCTTTTACAGTTTGCGTAGGATCCGCGGACATGTCTTAAACAGGGTACCCTTGGGCCACTGCTCTTCTATGAAGGTTGCTTTTGGGACAGGAGCGTAAGAGAATCAAGAATGAAAGACTCCCACTCGTTCCGGTTGTGATCGCAGACGAAGCGTCCTGATCGAAGAGGTCGTTAAACTCATCGTCACCCAGGTCGTGTGCAGGAATCACGCCACCCACGGAAGTAATGTGCACTGCATACTTACCGCGGTTCTTCCATTCCATGCAGCATGGGCACCTCAACCCAAAGCAGGATGGCGGAGTATTCCATGCAGCATGGTGAGGATATCTCACTTCTTGAAAATCCATCGCAGACCTCAACATCGCAACACGGGCATGTGTCATGACACCAATCACGCCGAGAACATCTCAAACCTCAGAGCACGAGCACGACTTCCCAGTGGTTTTGTAAGCCGAAATTACTTCGAAGCCACTTGCTATTGCCATTGTATCATCCTTTTGGACAAGACTGACTCTCACGCTCCCCATCTGGCGCCCGGGCTGCGTAGCGGGCCGCCTCCCAAAGCCGGACGCGCAGCTGCCGGCCAAAGGGCCGGCCTCCCGCAGGGCCGGGGCTAGCGGCTCGCGGAAGTATGCGCACAGGCACTCGGGGCCTGCCGGCGGCAGATCATCCGCCCGTCGCGGAGCACAGTCGATCATCTCCACCTGCGAGCCGGCGAAAACCCTTGCAGAAACTGGGTTAGGAAGCACTTTGAAGACTTTGAAAACATGATTCCTTCAAAGGGCCCATGAGTCTCGAAAATGGAGGAAGCCGAAGCCGTCCCGTCAGCCTGGCGGTCTCCGAGAGGACTGTCGGACATCGCCGCCAAAGACAGCGCAGAGGGGGGCGGCCTCGCAACCCAGACATACCAGCACCACCACCGCCACCAACACCACAACGCAGTGTTCCACCCCGGACCTAGCTGTAGCTACATCTGGCCTTTTACAATACATCGCTCAAGTCGCGACAAAGTGCACTCGTGCACAACTTCAGGACATCGGAGGTCCTTCAGGATTCTCTGTAGATCTACCTTTGCACCATTGTGCCGAGCAACTCTGCCAAGATGTGTACGGGTGCTGCGCGACCTGGATCACACCAAGTCGAAGGTTGAATGCGGACTTGAGGTTCAGGGTTTCGGGTACCGGGTTCTGAGTCCTACGCCAAACTCAACACTACCCCGTGTAAGTTTGTAAATGGCGGCAATCAGCTATGTTTGGCTTGCTCAACCAACCTGCGACAGGTTCCGGATAACAGAATCATACAATACAACCCGACGGCCCCGGCTTCTCCAACTGCCAGACCAGCAACGCATAGCAACTTGTTTCGTCCTTGCGTCGCCCTACTTCAAACTCGCCAACCTCAACTGAACTCGGAACCCGAAAACGCCGCACCACGGCAATAGGGATTTTAATCATTAGAATAAGGTGCTTTGGTGTAATATGGTGTAATATAATGTAAACAAGTAAGCTTCAAGAACCCGAAAGAACAGCAGTATTCGCTATATTCCGCGGCATTTCCCTGTTCCCTCCTCGCCTTGCGCTCGCACAGCGCGGAGTGACTTTCGTTGCAACGGGACCTCCTGGCAGATCCGGCTAAACGCTGCTACCACGGAGGCCTTCGTGGCTAGAATGAGGCTGTAGAAGCATTGCCTTCCGCTCCGTTCTGCAAGGGCTTCATCGGGTATGATATAGGAATACAGAACAAATATCTTAAGTATAACTATTTGAGTCACACTGCCGAGAACTGTGGCAAAGGCTTGCTCCTCTGAACCTCGTAGAACCGAGGAGTCTCAGAAGTGGCAGGAAATCTTCTTTCCACACTCACTTACGGTTTCGTACTCTGCTTTCTGCTGCCCTCTCTTCGTCAGGAAGAAATCCTCAATCCTGCGAAGCCGATCGGGTGTCAGGCCACATTCTGCCCTGGCACGGTGATCGAAGCTTGTGCAAACCCCCCGAAACCCCTTTTAAAACCCCTAAAAACCCCTAAAAACCCCGACAGTCCCAAAAAGAGCCCACCCATAAGACCCCCTAAACCCCAAGCTCCAAGATCTGACTCAGACCTGCCCTCGAACTCCGCTTGCACTCGGCAGTCCTTCGGCCAGAGCCTCCTCTGCACCACCGGCCTTCATGGAGGGCTTAGGATTTGTCGGAGTCATTAAGGTTTCGGAGAAATGAGGGTTCGGGGTTTCTCTGGCGTAACCACTGTAAAAATTAGAGTCAGTTCGGGTTTGGGGTGTAGGGTTTATTCGGGTCCGGTAGGGTTTAGGGCGTAGGTTTCAAGATCGAACTGTGAGCTCAGCACAAACCAGCATCAGAGCTCAGAAACATGTCGGCAGGGCCATCCAAACGGAGCACCGGTGAAAGCCTGAGTGGCTGCAAGTGGTACAGAGCTCGCTGCTAAGTTCTGCATTTTTCACATTTTCACATTATGCCTACGGTGGTGATTGTCATGATGGTCGTGATGGTCGTGATTGCGGTGATGGTGGTGATGACTCATGGCGATGCCGACAATGACTGGGATGGTGATAGCGACGGTGATGGTGATGATGGTCACCATGGTCATGATGGGTCATGATGATGATGGTGATGATGA